GAAAAAGGTGCTAGATAATATAAAGAATGAATGTTTTGAAATGATTACAGGAAAAGCAACTTTGAAGATAATTTAGAAATAATAAGAGTAGGGTTAATATTGCTGATAATAATGGAACTAAAATAAAATAAATGATTAGGAAAAGCTTAAATAATTTTTCCAAGTATCGAGCAATAAGACAAAGATATTCAAATAATGACAGAGAAACATCAGCATTACTAATGTGCGAATAGTTAGTGCCCCTGAATACAAGATCAGAACAAATGGAAAATAATAAATATTCAGACATAAATAAAATGAGCTACGAAATCACTTTAATCTGCAGATTAAAAGAGCTCACTTGGCAAATAGCAGAACCAATAGAACAGACCAGTAAATAGATACAACCAGGTAACAGTATAAATCCTCAAAGAAAAAAAAAATCAAGAAACAAAAGACAAAACTTGATAGCCTATAAAGAAAGAAATCCCAGGCTGACTTTAGACCTCCCCTTTGTAACATAAAATTCCAGAGCCACGGCAGCAACATCAATGGAGGTTTGAGTTGTGAGTTCAATATACCTATGCACATACAACCAACCAATATGTGACAAGAGATCGAAGAATACTCAATGGATAAAGACTATTTGGTATATTCAGTAAATGGTGCTGGGAAAACTGGATATTCACATGAAAAAGAAGGAAACTGGACCCCTATCTTACACTGCACTAAAAATGAACTCAAAATAGATTAAAGACAAAGGTAAGACCTGAAACTATAAGACTCCTAGGAGAATACATAGGGGAAAATCTCCTTGACATTGGTCTTGGCAATGCTTTTATGGATATGACACCCAAAGCACAAATAACAAAAACGAAAGCCAACAAGTGAGACTGCATCAAACTACAAAGCTTCTGCAGAGCCAAAGAAATGACCAACAAAATGAAGAGGCAACTATGAAATAGAAGAAAATATTTACAAACCACCTATTTGATAAGGAATCGATATCCAAAAAATATAAAAAATTCACACAACTCAATAGCCAAAAATAAATAACCCATTTAAACTGTCCTAGGACCTGAATAGGCATTTTTCCAAAGAAGATATTCAAACGGCCAATAGGTACATGAAAAGGTGCTCAACATCACTAACACCAGGAAATGCACATCAAAACCATAATGAGATATCATTTCACATATGACAGAATGACTATTAACAAAAAGATGAGAGGAGAAGGAAACTGGACCCCTATCTTACACCGCACTAAAAATTAACTCAAAATAGATTAAAGACAAAGGTAAGACCTGAAACTATAAGACTCCTAGGAGAATACATAGGGGAAAATCTCCTTGACATTGGTCTTGGCAATGCTTTTATGGATATGACACCCAAAGCACAAATAACAAAAACGAAAGCCAACAAGTGAGACTGCATCAAACTACAAAGCTTCTGCAGAGCCAAAGAAATGACCAACAAAATGAAGAGGCAACTATGAAATAGAAGAAAATATTTACAAACCACCTATTTGATAAGGAATCGATATCCAAAAAATATAAAAAATTCACACAACTCAATAGCCAAAAATAAATAACCCATTTAAACTGTCCTAGGACCCGAATAGGCATTTTTCCAAAGAAGATATTCAAATGGCCAATAGGTACATGAAAAGGTGCTCAAAATCACTAACACCAGGAAATGCACATCAAAACCATAATGAGATATCATTTCACATATGACAGAATGACTATTAACAAAAAGATGAGAGGAAACAATGTTAGGAAGGAAGCCTTATACATTGTTGGTGGGATTGTAAATTGGTGCAACCACTATGGAAAAACAGCATGGAAGTTCCTCAAAAGATTGAAAATAGAACTACCATATGTTCCAACAATTTCACATTTTGGTATATATCTGAAGAAAATGAAATCTCCATTTTCAGGAGAAATCTGCACCCCCATGTCCGGCAGCATTACGTACAGTAGCCAAGACATGAAAACAACCTAAGTGTCCATCGACAGATGAATGGATAAAGACTAGTTGGTATATATGTACAATGGAATATTACTCAGTCATAAAAAAGAAGACTCTCCCATTTATGACAACACAGATAAATCTTGAGTGCAATATATCAAGTAAAGTCAGTCAGAGGAAGACAAATATTGTGTGATTTCAACTTGTATATGAAATGTTAAAAACAAAACGAAACACCTCCGAACTCATAGAAACACAGAATAGATTGGTGGTTGCCAGAGGTGGAGTTAGGGAAAATGGATGAAGCTGATCAAAGGGTACAGACTTCTAGTTATAAGATCAATAAGTTATAAAGTATAACACAGTGACTACAGTAAACAATACTATGTTGTATATTTAAAAGTTGCTCAGAGAGTTTTTAAAAGTTCTTAACACACGTAAATTACAACTGTGTGAGGGGATGGATACTAACTAAAATTGTTATGGTAATCATTTTTCAATATAATACATAGTGCTTTGGACACCTTAAGCCTACACATGTTCTGTCAGCTTTATCTCCATGAAGGTAAAAAAAAATAGAAAAATGAAAAACTGAATGAGCAAAATTAAAATAAATAAAAGGATTAAGTATGCAATTCAAAAACTCAAGGAAAGAGTGAAATCAGCAGAGAAAAGCGGTATTGAACTCCACACAGGGCCTTGGACACCCCGACGCTCCAGTCTCACCTCCGTGGCTGAGCCTCTCCACTCTGTTTTCGCATCATTAACAGGAGGGCTGAGGGTGAAGAATTCCTTAGTTCATTAGTCAATTCATCTCCAGAAAGTGCTCCGAGGCAAAGCTGATTTCTTTTACTAATAGGAGAAGATTGGCCCTTTCAGAAGAAGGAAGTTGTCTGGATGTGTGCCCAAAATATGTATCCTGTCTTTCAATGCTCAGTGGGAGTTACTCTCATTAGCTCCCCTTCTTTATTGCATTTGGGTAAAACAGAGAAGCCATCTTGAAGATGCTAAATGACTAATAAATTTTAATCGGCTCTTTAGCTCATACATACAAACAGTCATTAAATTCATCCAGAAAACTGTTAAAATCGAAAGTGCTAAAGTTGCAGAAATAACCAAGATCTTCTGGTTTCCTTCTATTCTTAAGAGTAATCCTACAACTAAAATCCCTAATGGATGTAGAGAAGAATCAGTTATGGGGTGTGTGTGTGTGTGTGTGTGTGTGTGTGTGTGTGTGTGTGTGTGTTGAATGGGTCAGAAATGTGAAGAGGAACTGAGTTAAAACAGGTGCAAAATTGAAACACTCCTCCACTCAAATGTTCTGGTAGGTGATGTGGTCTTTGTTTTCACAAGCACGTGAGCACCGCTATAATCACTGTGGGACAAAAAAAGACAAATTAGGTTTGGACTCTTCTCTGGTGCCCTGGCAGCCATGGGAGAGGACGCTCCTTTTAAAATGAGCAACTTGTACTTGAGTGTGTGTGCAAGTATCACTCATGGATGAGCAGAGAGAATCCCTGCCTGAAGCAACTGGCTAGGATTTCCATAGGTTTTAAAAGAAGACCCAGTGTGGAGCTCTGTTGGTGGCTTCTAGAGCATTTGTCATGACGGTTTCCACCATCTGTTAGTCCTGGGGGACCTGAAAGGACATCAGCCAATTTGAAAGCCACAAAAGTGTCTTTCTTTGATGCAGCAAGTCCACTTCTATAAACTTTCCTAAATAATAAGTAATGCTCACAAGATTTAACTATGAGAGAATATTCATTGTAGATTTGTGTATAATAGACGATTTTTTTTTGGAAAAGTATAAATGGCCAACAATATAAAGTATAACACAGTGACTATAGTAACAACACTATATTGTAGTATATTTGAAAGTTACACAGAGAGAAGTTTATTTTGGAAATTGTTTTGGGAAAAGATAAACAGCCAACAATAATTTACCCACATAAAGAGGCAATCACCTAGGGGCTACTCCGTGTACGGGGAGTGGGTAGGTGCCAGCCTGCCGAGATAAGGGGCCAGGAGAAAAGAGCCCGGCTTTCTGGAGGGAGCACCCTCAGAGCTGGGCGATGGGTGGTCAGATAGACACGCTTTGTCTAAACATCTTTCTCAGTGGGAGTATGAAGGACACACTATGCCAGAGGCTGCTACTTACCTCTGCTCTCTCATTCTTCCCTAGGACTGTATTCTGACCAATGGGCCCAGGTCAAAAACAAACAAACAAGCATGCAGGCGAACAAACAGCTTTTCCTTCTGTTAGCGATGACAAGTGAAATGCAAGCAAACATGAATGGGTTGGAGTCCCAGGAATGCCAGCTCAGAGGAGGACAGGTAGCTGGTATGGGCCTCTTTTATTCTTCCTCCCCTCTTCCTTCCCTGGAGTTTGGCTGGAATTTGGGCCTGATGGCCGGAGTTCCAGCAGCCGCCTTGACCCAAGAGCCGTCTTTACCAAGAGCTGAACTTGAGGCATGACGCGTTCGCACTTCAGCTGCACTGGCCTGTCCCCAAACCCACATTTAAATGTCCGGATCCTGGTTATTATCTTAGGACCTTCTACCACACCCAGCAGTGGTGTCGCACGTCCCTTACATTTCAAAGGCAATGCCCTCGGACTTACATCTGCAAAGTACTTGAGACTTCACATGTGTTATTGAATAGAGATAATTCTGGTCCATTTTCTGGGCTCTCTTCTTTAAGCTCATGATACGGTATGATATGATATTACCACCTTAGTGAACTGTGGAGGCTGCTGTGTGTAGAGGGAGTGCAACCCTCTACAACCCTTTGGTGGCACTGATATTGGCATTTTCCACTTCGTTGTATAGTGAGTTATTTTTAGAGTGGAATCTTATGGATATTTCAATGTGTTAAATTTGCTGGAAGAAACATTCAAATATGGGTTTTATATCCCCATAGCAATTACTCCCAAATTGGCTGATGCCTTTGGATAGAGAGCCTACCATTTCTATTGGCAAAATAACTGAAAGGAAGAAGCCTTAGGAACTTTGCACACAGCTTATTCCTCTCCCACCTGCATAGTCACTTACCTGTGATGGCCAGTTGGGTCACAAAGAAGGTCATTCTTGACTTCCTCTTCCGCCTCCACGTGGAGAACAGCACCGCGGAGTTCCCCACGATGGTGAAAACGAAGAGGACCCACAGCGTTATCAGCTGCTCAGTCTGTGGAAAGCAAGCAACACGGAGTGGCCTGTGAGGACTAGGCTGCCCTGCAGAGCACGAGGCTCAGGCTTCCTGCTGGAAGGTCTTCCTTCTGCTCTCATGTCCCCACCGTCAGAGCTCTACTCGCCAGAGGCCAAAGACCAAGACCGTTTGCTCCCAGGGAAGAGGATGGTACCGGGGGTGGGGGGCCTCGTCTCTGGCCCAGGACAGGGTGAAGGAGCTGTAGTGTGGCAGGTGCGGGCCTGCAAAGTCCTGCGAAAACGCAAGTGAGGGGTTTTCCTAGCTTTTCCCCCGTTCCTTTCAGGGAACCTGTTTCATAGGAAGAAGCATTTCGATGCTTTACATCCATTTATTTTTTCAAATCACAGAGCACTGTGTCACGTCCACACATTTTCTCCGCCGGGGCAGTGGTGCGGGAGTGGTTTGCTTCCACACTGCCCAGCACTGAGCCAATCTCTGCGGGACTCTTTCCGCCTCAGAGGAAGACAGTTTTCCTTCCTGACTCCGTCTTCTCCAGCACCGTCCCTGGCCTTGCCCGGTGCTCACATCCCTCCACGGGGAGAAAGCAGCCAGCCCCGGTGCACCTGCAGCAGAAATCTGCTCCCTGGGCTGTATAGTGGGGCCCCTGCACCAGCCTCCCCTCGATGATGCTCAGGGACACGCTTCACATTAATACTTCACAGCAAGCGCGTCTGTCTGCCCTGCACTCAGACCCTCCGTACCCGCACCTTCTACGGTCCTCCCATTTTCCAACAGGTGCGGGGGGTGGGGTGGGGAGGGGGTTCCGATCTCACCTATTTTCTATTTCTCACAGAAAATTGTTTTCAACTAAAATGGCTCTGAAGGCCTTTTGGATGAGAATTGGAAAGAGAAGGAGACATGTTCAAATAAACTCAGGTACTTTTGAACTAGAAGCTACGTTTTTTTCCCCCAGATTGTTCTCTCTTCATGCTGTTCTTTCACTAACTGCCTGTGGTTTGGTTTTAGGCCACATTTCCAGAAAATAACACCATAGAAGGTAACTACTTTGTTGAGAGAGAGAGAGAGAGAGAGAGAGAGAATATAACACCATAGAAGGTAACTACTTTGTTGAGAGAGAGTGTGTGTGTGTGTGTGTGTCCCGCATGCTGCATTGGTGACTATGCAGGTACCAACATTCAGATTCCCAGAAATCAGGGTTCTCTCAAATGGACGAGCCCTGTGGCCCCCAGTGGGCATGGAATGGCTGCCGTCTCTAATCCCTTGGACTGAGCAATCCCTACCCAGGCCTCCAGTCTCTCCAAAGGAGGCTCAGGGCTCGGGTGGGCTCTGCTGGGCACATAGTGGCAGACACTGCAAATCTAACCAGCCTGGTGGCTGTGTCGGTGAATGGGAAGCCAGGCCTCAGGAGGCCTGACACGCTCTGTGCGGGCCTGACCCAGCCTTTTCCTCAGGAGCCGACGGTGACTCTGTAAGAAGCTCTGTTCTTGAAACGGAGCCATGTCCACAGGGCAGGCTGAGCAAGCCCTGTGAATTCGGCCTAGCATTCTTACCCACGCACACATGCGCATACACACACACACACAAAGCCCACGGTAATATGAGGATTGGAAAACTATGGGAATTGAGGAAACAAGTTCAGCGGCGTTTGTGCACTACGGTCAGGTGAGAGATTTGCTATACAAGTGGGGAGGCTTTGTCACCATCCTGACTTGGATCAGATGCTCTGCTACTTGTGAGATGTGTGATGCACGGGGGGGGTAGCCTCTCCCAGCTACTTTCTCATTTACAAGATGGAGATCAAAATAAAATCCGCCTCAGGACACTTTGATGGATAGACACCATGATGGTAATGAGGTTTCTAGATGGTGCCTGAAGCGTAGCATACACACCATAAAAGGTGGCTCATCTCCTTCCTTTGGTTCCTGGGCTGCATATAGGTTTGAGAAGATATTTATAAAGAACTCACAACCTTTTCAGACCGAAGCTCGAATTCACCCTGTTCGTCCTGTTTTCTATCGGAATTTCCCCTAAGCCTAATAGGCATCCCCCCTCCACCCAGGCACTGATGGTGCCCCAACATGGGTTTCAGAACGATTGCAGAAGGTAATTGAGGATGAAGTGCTCCCTAGTGGTCACAGGAGGGAAAGTTCCAGCCAGGTGCTCAGGACTGAGTAGAACAGGGGAAACTGGGAAATTTTCAATGACGAAAGACTCGAGTGTTTTTGACTCAGTTACATGGTTGTGGTTTCATGGCTAATTCGTTTCAACCTCAAGTTATTGAGGCCTTGCAGTGACGTCAGCTCTCTACAGACCAGAGAATTCCCTCGTGGGACTTAGAGGAATGAACTGACGTGTTCCCTGGGGGACGCTGGGGCTGCCACAGGGCAGACACCACGGAATGGCTCTAAGGATTATGTTCCCAAGGCCAAAAGGATGTCCATGAGGGAAGGCATTGGGTCTGGGTCGCCACTTCCTGTAGCAGGTGCTAAGTAAACATCTGCAGGAAGGCTACATGGTCAATGACAAGTGCAAGGGTACTTAGAAGTACCCTAGACAAGGTTATTTCAAATGGGAATGATCTCAGGAAACACAGGACATTTAGTCGGGTGACTCTAGTTGGAACTGGATAGTTAGACTTGTCTGGAGAGGAAGACATGATTTCCCCAAACCCAAGGAATAATGATCTTCTTTCCCAGCGGAGTCCTGGAAACTGGGAGAAAAAAAGGTCTGAAGGATCTTTAACAGTCGTACGGTGGTGGGAACCAACATTATTTGAGCGACTCCATTAATCTAGCACCCGAGTTACTCAGTTCGCACTGTATAGTAGGTGATCAATACATGTGTGTTGCTGACTGACTGTCCTGTGCTGTGCATTGTTTGAGACGCCTTACCTACTGCTCACTTCATCCTCACAACCTGGCCGGTGAGACGTCACTGTCCTCAATCATACGGAGAGGGACTGGGGCTCAGAGAGGTTCCTAAGCTGGTCGGTACACATGGTTTATAAGGGATGCAGCTGAAATTGGAATATTATTTTGTTTAACTGGAAAGTCCATGCCCTGCTTACAATTAGGGGCCGGAGATGGTGAAGTTGCCTCATTTGCTTTCAATTATCATCATTGTTATTCTGACTCCAAACTTGTCTGAAGCTGGGCCTCTGGAACTAGGTCAGTTTTGTGACTGTTCCCCACTTCTACCCCCCACCCCACTGGCTGAGCAAGAGGGCGATGCTCCATGTGTGTTTGAAGGGACTGACCCTGGAGCCACATGTGGCTTCCACACCACAGCATCCTGCATGTCACACGAGATGCAGCGACGCCATCTGGCCCAGGGAATCATAGCGCCTTCCGTACGCCTTACACTTCCATGGTTCCTTTAACAATTAGTGTTATTCCTGTGACGTTGAAGATGAGTATCTCAAACACAGGAGAGAGCAAATGTATCTTCCTTCCCAAGAGAGGAAATGAAGTCTCAGAAAGGTTACAATTCAGCCTCCGTCCTCAGTGAGCAGGCAGAGCAGCTGTGCTGCCTTGGCACTGGGACCCGGTGCCACCTGTCACTCACAGCACCAGCCTCTGAGGCGGCTCAAAGCCTCATTGATTCGCGGAGGTGGGTTGGAAATACCAAGAGCAAAGGTCTGAAAGCATCTGATTCCACTGAAGATGAGTCACCGGGTAGCACAGGCAGCCACGGTGTAAAGCGAGCCCGGCAGGAGCGGATGCAGAGCTTTGGTTCCGTGATTAGACCCGGGGGTGTGTGATCCAGGCAGAGGCCCGGAGCCCCCTGGGAGGTGATATGTCTGAGCAGGTGGGCACTCCGATGGCTCTGTGTCTCGCCCACCTGCTGCTTCAGAAGGCGCGGCCCGGTGGCAACAACCGGGGACAGCCAAGCAGGCGGCCAGGGGAGGACTGGACTTGCTCGGAGGGCTCACCTGGCTTCTTCCCACGGCCACCTCCTCCCAGGGAGGCCCCTTTCAAACATCTGCATCTTCCCCACCCTCCCCAGGAACCCAGCTGGGAGACACCCTTGCGGATACAGTTGAATGACTGTCCTCACACCCTCCTCTCGGCATTCACCTTTTCTAACAGTTTTACTGAGAGCTATGGGAATTCTATCTTGAATTACCCAGGGTAGTCTTTATTTCTAATATTCAAGTATAAAAAATAGATAACAAGACATTTTGATGGATTACTATTACAAAAAATAAAACAAAAATGATGTAAAGCAACATTACGTGGGGATGTGAGATGCCTAATTTACTGCTCACTTCATCCTCACAACCTGGCCGGTGAGACGTCACTGTCCTCAATCATACGGAGAGGGACTGGGGCTCAGAGAGGTTCCTAAGCTGGTCGGTACACATGGTTTATAAGGGATGCAGCTGAAATTGGAATATTATTTTGTTTAACTGGAAATAATATTTTGGAAAGGCTTTTCCTACCATTACAGGCATGCAGAACAAGGGTGTAGGTGGCAGCCTCTGGCTGGGGCTGGTGGGACTATCGGACGGGGGCTCCTGCGTGAAGAACAGAGAACATGAATGGGGTGGAACTGTTCTGGAAACCATGTCCTGTGAACATGATTATACTGGTTTGCATTCTGCATAATTCAACAAGCATTTGTTGAGAATCTAGTAGCAAATTCAAGATACTTTGGGGATGGAAGGAAGGCTAAGACAGGAGCTCACAGTCTGATGGTGGAGGCATATATGGAGACAAAAGTTTTCAATGTGACCTGTTATAATGGAGAATTTGAGAAGAGGCTGGTTATGGCTGGTCCAAAGGTAGATTCTGGAGGAATTAATATGTGAGTTGAGTCAGAAAAAGTGAGTAGAAGTAGCCAAGCAGAGAAGCAGGGCACCTGGCAAAGGTGTGAGTGAAGGCAGAGGACAGAGGGGGCCGTCCCTGATCCTTAGGTATGGTCACGGAGCTGGGCAAGTCTGGTATGTAAGTGAGAACTTGGGCCAGTGTCCTGGAAACCAGCTATTTCAAAAACGGGGCAAAGTCCACCCTGGCTCT